AAAAAAATTTTTTTAAATATATGCTTTGAATGGATTTACATTTCTGAAATATTTCATACAAAAAAAAGCATAATTAAAAAAACATTTATTTTTAAATTATGTTAGATAACTGTATTTCAAAAAGAATCACTCAATTATTTGAGTAGTTCATTATTTGGTACACCATTCTAAAGGATAGAACTTACAGAATCCAGAAACTTAAGAAGTGCAGTGTTCCACTCACTAATTAAAAGGCAATAGAAATCGCCTCAGAATGATATGAATTAGAGAATCAGTTGGGATTACTAATGCAGATCATGTGCAGATATGAAATTAATAAGAAAAATATTGGAGACTGATTAGAAGAACAGATTTTTTTTAATTAAAAATAAAAAAAATTTGACAGGAAGGGAAGAAATGTAAGAAAGATCATATATTCTTATTTGTTTCAAATTGAAAACTGAAGTTTTACCAATAGTAAAGTAGATAGATTAGAATAAAGGAATCTGACATTGTTTAACTCACTTTGACATGATAAAAAATAAGAAAAGTTAAGAAGATATATCAGGAGTATATTTAATACTTTCATACAAAAAGAAATGATAAAAAAATGTTTTACTAGTACAGTAAAACCTGTCTAGATGGAAAAATTCTTCAGAATGGTGTAATTTTTTTATGTTAAATTTTACTATAAGCCAGAAAAAAATCTGTCTAATGCAAAAACGGTAAGAATAATTTAATTCAACCTGAATATGGATAAAGTAGAAAATTAAGATTCCAACTGCTGTTGACAAACAAGTAAAATTGCCTTCAAATATACTGGTCACTGTAAAGCATGACAAACTGTATTCCAAGCATGAATTTGAACCTTTTCAGGGAACCAAAGATCATATGAGGAGGATAATAGGATCTTTGTTAATATTAGAAAACCAAGAATAGAATTGAACACTTAAAAATCAGACAAGTTTCTAAGAAAAGACTTTGAAAATAAACAATAAATGTAATTTGAAAACAATAAGAATAAAGTAGCAAGGTAAGCAGAGTTATGCAACACACCAAAAACCAGAAAAATAAAAATCCTTTACAAATGCTTTCATCATATACAATGACATCATGTTTGATTAAAAACATATGCACATGACTATTAGAGTGTTATATCTGCTGCCAGTTAGGAATCTCAAATAATGCTTTCCATGTGGATAAGATAGAGTTCTTTTTCCTTATAACTAACTACTGTTCCCTTTTGGATGGCTTTATGAATCTGGAGTTTTTCAAAATATCTTAGCTGATGTGGGTTCCTAGTGTAGTACAGAAAAAGCATATTCTCCAAGTCCACTTGTACATCACCATCCAAGGCATAGGCAGCAAGGGCAGTGCAGGGAAGTTGCTTTCTAATATTGTAATTGCACTCTTTAATCTTTGCTCTGAGACATTTAGTTGTAGCACCCACATATTCAAATGAGAGTATTACACTATACACTACAAACACCTGGCAAGAGACTTCTTTTGGTTCAATGCTCTTCATTTGTAAGCATTGAGATCATAGAAGTTCTTTCAAAAGAAATCCTTTTATTAGTACATTGGGTTATTTCTCTGTAGGTAGAGTGAAGGGCCTTATTGAATACAATCACTAGAAAAGGCCTGTTGTCAGAGCACAATTGCTCAGCCTCTATGTTCTGGTGTGAAAGTAGTCCTTTAAATAAACCCTTTGTTCTCTCATAAAAATTATCTGACATACTAATTAGTGATTGGACAATACAAAGGTCTCTCCCAATTTTTCTGAAAGCTTTCTAAAGTTTATTTAACTTTAGAAAAATTAATGATTTACTTTATGAGCATGATACATACATTAATTAATTAATAAACATAAAGCTTAAGAATGGAAAATTCAGAATCAATCTTTTGAAATAAACCTGAAAATCCTCCATTTATATGTTTTTTGACATCAGAACAATACCTGACATCAAAAAAATGATAGAAGGACTAGATCACACTACTAAGAAGTATTTCAGATGGAAGACATTGATAACAATATGCGATAGACAAGACAATATTTTGTCCAAGACCGTCTGGCCATCAATCAGGGCATCTAGAAGATGGTTGATTGACAATGATATTGTTGCTTTATAAGCAAATAAATCAAAACACATGGTGCTTATGAAAAAGGATTCATAGTGCTATACCATAACACAATATATCTCAGACACAGAATGCATATTAGCACCTTGTGGTTTCTTGAAAAAATATCTGCCAAGATGTTGAAGATCTCCAATACTCCCCTCACTAATACTTTGAATCTGTCAGCAACAAGAATTATGCTGCTGACACTGCCTCTCATATTTGCATTCTCAAAAACCCATAAGAATGGCCAACAGTTACGTGCGGTAATGGATAAAACTACTATTCCCACTATTAAAATGGAGAGACTAGTTAACAAATACATCACTAGCAATCTAGAGGAGCATACATACACAGTCACTAATCCAGAACAAGTACTTCAAAAATTATGGGATCTTAATGAGTCAACAGTGGTGTATTTCACAGTATGTGACTATCAAACATTGTTCCCATCTATAAAACTGGAACCCTGTTTCTGCAAGCTGAGAGATTTTCTTCTGGCAAAGGTGGAGGGTGCTTATAACTATCTACCTGATGTGTTAGATCTAATACACTTGATGGTGCACTCGTCCTTATTAGAATACAAAGGGGTCACCTACCTACAGACAAGGGGTGTACCTATGGGTAGCCCAACATCAGGAATGCTTTGTGAATTAGTGGTCGGAAAACATGAGAATGCCATATTACCTAAATTTCATGAGGACACATTGTACAGCATTGTATGCCAGGTACATTGATGACATTCTTATAGTATGGAACAAAGTACCTAACCTTGACTTGGTACTTAAGTATTTTAACAATAACCCCTATGGCCTGTTGTTGAAAGCTGAACAAGAGAGTTGTATGACTGTACATTTTTTGGCTATCAACATCACAATGGAGCACGGTCATCTGTCCACCTGTGTTTTCCGTAAGGAGTCATATACACCTTTATTTATATGTCACCATTCACATGACCCTCATTGTTACAAAGTTTCTGATTTTCAATCTTTGGTAAAAAGGACCTTATTGTTTGGAGCAAAGTGAAAAGGAAAATGAATTATCATGGATCAAGGCCGTAGCAATACAACATGGATACCCATCCTCTTTGGTCAAAAATCTCATAAAACAATATATAAATCAGAAGGAGAGGACTATTCTACAAGACAAACAAATGAAGGTTCACATATTTTGTTGTATCACATACAACAAAAAACTTTCTAATATATATAGAGAAATTGCAAGGACCACTAAAATACACATAATATAGTGACGCTCTCCAACAATCTTCTCTCTCATCAAAAATGATAAAAGCCGTATAGATGACTCATACTCTTCAGGGGTTTATGCGGTACCTCTTCACGACAACTGAGTTAATCACTCATTAACATACATTGGAGCAATGGCAAGAGGTCTCACCATGAGGATGACAGAACATGAATATTCCATAAGAAAAAAGCTGACTACTACAGCGTTAGCGACATATGCAGGTAATGAGAAGTCCATGTTGAACTACAGAACGCTAAATTGTTACACAAAGTGTTAAATAAGGCACAACTTAAATACCTCAAATCTCTTGAGATCTATCAGGCAATTAAACAGGGAGTTGATATTAACTTCAAGGAAACAGACATGCTATCCACAGCACGGTGCACCATTTTTGAACTAGATTCCACCAACAGAAACTCGCATTAAGGATAATTTAAATTATGGAGGATATTTGTACCATAATAATTTATGTGAAATTGATCGATTATTNAATAAACCGATAAATTAAAAAACATATTACTAACGTTTTTAAGTATATCTATATCAGGGATGGCCAACACATAGACCGCGGTTGACCACAAGGTTTTGAAAGTAGCCCGCAAAGCTAAAGTTGAACAATTTGCTTTCACTTAAATTAATGCTTAAAAATCTTAATTCGATAATTTATTCTTACAATAATAGACTGTCTGTGCAACGTAACCATACTGTTTGTATTTATCCCGATGAACAATGCAAATGAATGTTAACGAATGCACATATAAAAATCCTAAAATTGTTTGCCCATATTCATAGTCACCCGCAGACTATATTTTACCAAAAAAGTAGCCCCTAAGGGATAAAAGTTTGGTCACACCTGATCTATATGAACTGCTAATGGAAATAAAACAAAAATACTACTATACACCGACATCTAAAACCAGCAAATAAAAATTCCAACACTTTAATCAAGCAAACATTTTCTTCCATTTTCAAACAGATGTCTTCAGGTTATAACTGCTGAATATGGAATAGAAGTAACAATTTAAAAAATAGAACAATGTAAGTTTAAAAACAAACAACAATCAAGTCTTTCCTGTAAGCCTGGAGAGTAATGCATGAACTGATACATATCATTGGGTTATATCTGGGTTATGCCATTAAACTGATACTAGGTATGTAAAAAATTGTATGAATGTATCAGTTATTTATGTTTATTCTTGTCTGGTAAACACTAACACGTATGTGCCAGTTTCTACTGGAAGGATTTGAATGTTATTCATTTTTAAACTTACATTGTTCTATTTTTTAAATTGTTAGTTCCATTTTATATTTGATGGTTGTAACCTGAAGATGTCTGTTTAAAACAAAAGAAAACATTTATTTGAGTAAAGTGTTGGAGCTTATTTGCTGGTTTTAGGTGTTGACTGTCATACAACAAAAGCATTTTAGCATTTGAGATGGTTACTTTATAAATTGCATTCTGATGAATATCAAACTTTCAATGGCTGCTCCGGAGGTGGGGAGTATATGGTGGTGCAGGTTATACAAAGATTTTATTTCCATTATACCAGTTTTCTGCAGGTTATTCACACAAAATTATGGCATAGGCCTACATGTTTCTAAAAATGTTTAAATATAAAACAATTTTACAACTTACACAAATAAATTACAACAAAACAGATCCAAAACATTTTATTTTCTACAATGCAGACATATACACAAAAGACATGGTTACACCATTACAGCAAGATTATCTTGAGATAAAAATTGGAGTACAGTTTTCAACAAAAATTATGTCAATTCTAACATTCAACACATCAGGCAGAAGGTATGTTAAGGAGGCAACATTTCAAAACTGCCTTAAACCAGACAGCTGTAAAGCTAGAACTACTGATGATAAATCTACACATCATTCATATCCTTATATGGCACGTTGCTTTCTGATAACTGCTTGTTGTTTTCCAACAGAAATGCTCTCTTATTCTGGGAAATAAGTATTAAAATAGACGACTACAGTAGAGCACAAAGATATTAAAATATTTAATGTCTTTATCTATTGAACATACAAGATATATTTTGTGCATAATGAGATTATCTTTGTATTTTACTGTGGTGTCTACATTAAACTCTCTCTGTGAGTGACGAATGCTTATTGAAAATTTAAGTCCAAATGCAAGTTCTCTATATCAACGGATTATGTAATTTAATGGGAATTCTTCATTTTTTCTAATAGAAGTGCATTATGAATATTAGTCGCTTAATCTTGCATTTATTTCCCTGATGACAGCAGATAAGCAGGCTGATACATGGAGAATAACAATTTGCTAGCAGCATCAAACATTAAGAATGTGGTTAGCCAAAAGTGTCGATACCAACACAGGCTACCTCACACCAAACCACAAATCTGTACAATAGAGATGCATTTTTTAACCACTATATAGACAACAATTTCTACTTAGCTGGCAAAGTTAATATATTTTTAAGAGAAGTATAGCCTTAGTTTACATTTTGCAAATCTGAATTAATGAAACAGTTTGAGAGAATGTTTTCGTGTTATATTTTTTTTTTTGACTCCTAACGAACTAGATGAAAATTCCAGGCAATTTAGCTATTTTTGTAATAGAAATTTTAAAACAGTATTTCCATTATACTAATTTATATCTGAAAACAACTGCATTTGCTATTAATGAAGCCAGCATTTTGTACATTTAACAAATGAGGAAATGGATATGTTGAACAATAATGCATAAATAGGTTAACAAAACAACTTTATATTACAAGACACTTTATAATACATATATCACTTTAAAACTTACATGAAACAGTAGCTTTTGCTACACTGAAATATAAATTTTTTTTGCATTTCATTTCATATATACTTTTACAACTCATTAAAAATTTGAAAACTAATAAATCAATTTACAAATATTATATTTTTCAAAATATTTTGCATCAACAAGCTAACAGTGATGTCTGTCTCTCGCTCTCTCTCTTTTTTTTAAATTTCACCAATATGATATAATTTACTGGAATAATTAGAGTGATACGTTAAGTACCATGTTAAGTAGATTTATTTTTTTATAATGATATATTCACAAAGTAGTATAAATTACACTAAATAAATCATTTTTATCTGGTAGATTTAATCCCTGCAGAAATGATTAAATGGTGAGGTATATCTTAAATGCTTGATGAGATGTCAAGCTATGTAATATGTTACCTTGTTTTATTTATATGCATAATTTTGGTTTCCTTTAATAGAAAATAAAATTATTATAATCAAACTATTTGGATTAATCATTCAAACTTTCCTACAGTGGCACATATCAAGCACTCTAAATCACACACATAAATAATGAGCTGCTTGATTTTAAAAATAATAATTATAATTAGATAAAAATGCTCTATTTTTATCATTAGTTTTAATATCAAAATCTGTATCTGGTCCACATTATTCATTTCAAGTAACATCTATTTTCTACAAGGGACAGGATATATAACAACATATCACTATTTTGCAAATATCCATCAATGTTGCACTCTGCTATAAGTCAGTCAATTGGATAATGCATTGCAATGTTGAAAATGATGATTGATGAAGGATGACAAACTAATCAACACAAAATATTCTTATCTTATTGACACCTATTATAACAATTGATATGGCATTAAGCCAAAAAGCTGTTTGTTGCCTTTTATTATTATTAATTATTATTATTTTTTTGTAAATAAAAGTCATTTGTGCCCTTATATTTCTAAAAGTAAATCTACATGATTCACAAGAAAATAAATCATTGTACTAGAAAAGGAATAATATGAAAGCAGTCCAAAAATAAATATATATATTCTAGAGCCAAAATATAATGGCTCTAGATATTTGTAAATAATGTGGCTTCATGATTCTGTACTTTTACTCAGACGTGTTGTTAAATTTCCAAGCACATTCCGTATTGTTGTTGCAATACCCTGGGGAATAAAATCTTCCATTAATCAAATGTAACTTATTTAAAAATTACTATAAAGACTAATATTTAAACCATATTTAAAATCTAGGTTAATTATAATTTTCTATATAGAAACTTGGGCTGTTTGAATGTACAGTATTTACAACTGCAATATTAGAAAGAAATATTAATTGATATTAAATATTTTTTTCATACAATAAAGAGCTTTATATACTTGATTACCATATTTTCATGCGTATAATCTACAGAAAATTTCTAAAACAAAAATAAAACTTCACATAACCCACTCCAACATATACCTTGTGCCTATATGAATAGCCATTGCTCCATAGTTACATTTTAAAATTGGTGCACAACCCAAAATCCATTCAAAGCTGTCTTTTAAAAACATATAAGCTATGGGTTATATGCATGAAAATATGGTGCACAGAGCAAATCCTCATTAACATATACTTGAACATGAATAGAAATCAATGCCTTGCTAAGATGCACATTTTAACATACTGTACATCTTATAGCTTATTATAGATACTTAGATTACTAATAATCTAAGCATTCTATAATAATTAAAATTTGACAATACATAATTCATTTAATACAAATTTCTATTCAAAAAGTATATTAAGAAATATAACTGCAAAATTTAAAAAAAAAAAAAAAACTATTGGCTAAACAGCTTGTAATTTAGATATTTTTACCAATGTCTATTATAGAAAGACTAAAAGTAATGTAAATAATTTTAAAATTCTTGTATAATATTTTAATTGGGCTACAATTTGAAAAAAATGCAGACCTATAAATTCTCATTGTCGTCCATCTGTCCTCCCTTAATTTTGAGAACAGAGTTAGATAGATAAAAGCCTAGACCAGATACGAAAAGCTTAAGGGCAGGAGACCCCAATTAACTATGCAAACCAGAAGTCACATTATTTCAATTCAAACATTTTCCCCGAAAGCAGTTAATAGATGACTGGCATGATTCTTGTTAAAGGAAAAGTATGATATACAGGAGCAAGCCACTAATTTGAGGTGGAGAAAATATGAAAAGCAGCCCAAGCAAAAAATTGCAGCCCAGCATTGTGATGATGTCACAATAAATATTTGCTTATTTTTTATATTATATTATATAAAAACAATCAAATATAATAAATATAAGGACGTCATTTGTTAAAATTCGTAAATACATTTATCACTTGAATTTATTCTTTACAATTTTCAGAAGCAAAAGTACAATTATAGTATAATAGCTTCAATTATTATTCTAATAAAAGATACCATTAGTAATATATTAATATTTCCATTCTTTACTCTGAAATACTGTCAAATATAAAACATGGTAAAAATGAAAATATGAAATAAAATTTAAATAAATATATCTTTATTTTCTGTTGCATAATTTTTATTTTAGTGTTTAAATGTTTATCTATGTTGGTTGCAAGCACTTGCTAATCTATATAATATATATTATGAAGAAAAATCTTAAAATACATAATGTATATACTACACTATGTTTTAGTGCATTTTAACATTAATATTAAAATCATCTCTTAGCATTAGCTGTTGTATTTCAAAACATTTGGAATAAATATTAGTGAAGGAAAATGAATTCTTATGATTGAATTCATTTTTAAAGGTTCAGATTTTCCAATAAAATTGAAATTAAACTTCAAAAAGCAAATTATATTAAAATATTACTCAATTTAAAAAATTTTAAATGGAAGAAATATGTTTTATAATAAGGAATAAAAAATATATGTATGAATTTTCATCTTTAAATTTCATGAAGAATCATTTTTTCCAATAATTTAATACATAGCAGTTTTAATGGAAATCTTATGAGAATATTTTTGGTAATTTTATAATTTTTTGACATGATTTCATATAAATGTATACATCAAGATATGTAGGTAATTCTGTTTCAAAATTTACTGAAATAATTTTATTTTGGAAACAATGAGATCAACCGTAATATTTTGCTTGCCATTTTTTAATATCATTATGACATGTCTCAATTAAGATTAAACTTTTTAATATAAATATCCTCTTATTATTGTTAAGTTCTTGTTATTAAGTATTTATTTCAATATTTTATATGACAATCTATAAAATTTATTTTACAATAGCTTCTTTAATACTGTGAAAAATTTTTCATATTTTAATTAATTTGTATGATATATATTTAAAACAATTCATAATTTTTATTTTTTTATTCTTTATAATTTTTAAAAGCAAAGTTATCATTCTATGATATCTTTAAATGTCATTCTAACAAAAAATATTGAAGATTATTCAATCATAAAAATAAATAAATTTAAACAATTAAAAATATATATTATATCTTTTATTAGCTAAATATTTAATATTNGTCCTTCCTACGCTTCCTCTGATCGAAATGTCTGATAAAGTTAATTCGACTTCCGGTTTAATAAAAGTAGTTAGTGGTCCAGTGCAGTTTGAATTTTAACTATAAAATTGCATTTTTTTAAATTTCTTTTTCTTTTATTTAAGTGAAAATTAACTCGTTCTATCATTTCTTTTATGGTATATCTCTAGGGAGCTTGTTATATTTTCGAAAATTTAATTTATAATTCTAATTAAAATCCAAGAATAACTTCAAGAAAACAGAAGAGAGAATTCACTAAAGTTTAAGAAATAAATTAAACATGCGAAAAGTTTAGATTTACATCAAATATGCACTACTCTTGAGAATTTCTGCTAAGAAAATTAAATGTCTAAAACACTCTTTCGTCGTACATTCGTTTTTCTCAAGAGTTAAGATGTATCAGTTCATGTATTAATGAATTTAAAGCAAAGGAGGTATGGATTATTTATAACTCTTATTATGAGAGTTAAAGGAGTTTCTAAGCATTTATAACTTTTTCCATTGGGTCGCTGACATCTGTACACTTGGGAGATGAAAGTAAAAAGTTTTGAAGATAACACAACCACGTTCTTTACTTCAGCCAGACCATGTGGAAGAGTAATGTAATTGTCGCAAGTCTAAGAACTTTAAAGTTGGACCAAGCTGTGTTAGTATATGTTTGTTTTCACTGACGCACAACACGATAAAGGAGAAGCTGGATAACGTTACCGTAATGAGACAGGTGAAATATTACTGAAGTCAAAGGTAATTGGTTACACTCAGCACTACCTCCCGGGAAGCACCGAAATGTCACGCTTGGAGTTTGTTAGGAGAAATAATTTCCACATTTCTTTACTGGTAATCTTTTCAAAATGACTTTTTAGAAAGAAAATTATTTTATTGCAGACTTAAAAAATATGAACAACTCCTTCCTCGATGAAACGAAAGAAGTAACGCATCAAACTGCAAGCTCTTAAAGTTAACGAATGACAAACAATTTTCTCTGTTCTAAACTTAGTAAAAGTATTTCTCAATATGACTTTACTACCTTATACAGTTTTTCCTTCATCAAATTTTGTATAATATTAATCACAAAATCTTTAGTACGGTGACATAAAGTTGAATTTATGAAATTATACGAGCATTTACTTTTATAAATGTCACAAATAATTAGATTCTTCCTGGAGATAATATTCTCTGAAGTCGTGCTTATCCGCGCTTTCTAATTTATGAAGTATTCTTTCTGTGTTAAAGTTAAAGGAAGGATAGAGTTTCATTGACTGTAAACATAGACGTAGTCGGCTCTACCGATGTTCGGCCACAATAATAAATCTTCCCAGTTAAGAGCAGCTTGGTAGTCGAGCCACACCCAAGCAGACTTATCAGCAGCGTTGTATTACATGTGTCACGACCATATCATAGTTGCAGGAATCCGAAACGAAGGAATCTTTTACCTTCGTGTTGGAACTTCTCAGCTGGTGAAAGATCTTCACTTTCGACAAGGTACATTATTTGAAAAGAAAATCGAAAATAAAATAAATTTGCTACTCTTAACGCGCCAGATACTTCAACACACATTCTTTTCTCAAGTTTAAAACTAAATTATTGAAATCTGTAAAAGAAAATACTAAGCTTATTAAGATGTCACGAAACTAGGCGAATTCCATTAGGAAAAGCGAAGCAGCTTGACTCTGAAGGTTGAATATATGACTTGTGATCGATCAGAGAGGAGAACTTACTCCACGTGTTTGGTTTAAGCTCCGATAGAATGGGAGAGTGTCTCCATTGATGTGAAGAGTTACAGATCTTCCACAACAACGATTCGGCCTCTCTAGAAAGCAGTTATTTCTCTCGTGAACCTAAAGTAAATATGGTAGGAATAAACGTTATTTCTACCGTATTTACTCTACTTCAATTCCCCTTTAAATATAATATTATATCTTAAAAAGTAGAAGAAAATAAAGACAAGATTTAGTTTTGAAATTAATTAATAAATTTTGCTCTTTTCTTGACGAATTAAACACGTGTATGATGTATGGAATTAATAGTAAATTAAAAGGATAAAATGAACTTTTTATATAAATAGTTCAAATGTATTCGTTAACAAGTAATTATTTATATAATCCGAATTTTATGCTTAATGAGAAATTTCTCGAATAATCTAAATTTCATCAAGTTAGTGCTTAATTAAAAAGTAATTGCTGACTCAGTGACAAACTTTATTAAGCTTATTTCTTATTTTATGTATCGAGTTCGGACCCCATTTTAGCTTGCGATATTTAATTAATTTTTTCTTTTTCTGTAAAGAGAGTTAATTGATTGGTTTTGGTAAGCCTATTAAGTGAACTTTAGTAAGAAAAAATTTCTCCACAAAAATAAAAATTCTATACTATCTACTGGAATTTCGTTTTGTTCGAATTTTATTCGCAGCAGTTTTTTTTAATTTTAATTCTTTCCGCCCTGAAAATTTTGCGTTAATTCGATCAGGCCCACAATGTGGATGAATGAAAGGTGACCAACAAACAGGCTTTAATATATCTTGTTCAACCTTCCTATGAAAATTTGGGTAGCCAATGCGAATTCGAACCTGGATCCCTAGAGTTACATGCGTTTATTGTTTTGCTAGTTCTGCCATCAAG